CGTCTCTTATCCTGGGTGACCTGTTTCACCAGCAGGCCTGTTACTCTCCATGACTAACTGTGTAAGTGCTTATAATGGAATAAATTGCTTTTCTACATAACCCCCCCCCCAAAAAAAGAGTTCTGTAGAAAAAACTATTTACCTTTATAGACTGGATTTTTGCAAAACTTATTTGACTTCCCCCGTTTCTTTGAGCAGTAACTATAATCATCATAAAAACTAGTGTCCCTCAAAGTGCACTTTGAGAAATACTGCCCTACAGTGTGCCTGCTATTTTAACAGGTACAGTTTTTAAGGTTTCCTGGCAATAATGAGCAGAATGCTACTAAATTTCTGACTTGGAGGCTGGTGTTATCAATGATCGTTACAATTTTTATTATATTCTACTGAACATGTTTGGAACTAAGTTGTCCACCAGGACCTGATAAAGAACAAACTTGACAAGGGCTGCACTTGCTGCATGTATATTTTCAATGCCTGTAGAGGACTAACTTTCTTAGGAGGTGCCAGCACATCTAATACATCTTAATTTGATCGCAGTAACCTGAAACAATGGAGAAGAGGTTTTACCACTGCTAACATTACCTATTCCACAAGAAGGCTTTTGCAACTTGCTGTATTTGATTGGCGAAACCAATGGACATGTTGGTTTTTGAAAGTCACTCCTCTGGGTGCTGTTAGTGTCATAAGGTGGTTGGAAGGGGTTTTCCAGTCCTTTACTATGTGACCACCAGTCACCCTTTATGGGGAAAAAAAAAGGAAACAAAATTGGATACTGTAGGACATTTTCATGCGCTGCTTAATCTCTATGAGTGTTCAGTTATTTGATTCAACAAGTTACTGGACTTTCTAGCACTAAAATAGACTTCTGAAATCTAAGAATAAATACATTTTCACAAAAACTATTTCTTAAGAAGTACCTAAAAATGCATTATCATATATTTTTAGCTAAAATACAGCTGCTAAATTGTTAAACTACCTTCTATCAACAGATAGAGTGGTAAAAAATCAACAAAATAGTTATGTTTCTATGTTTTGTACTCTAATTTATATATATATGTATACACACGTATGCATATGTATATAGTATACATGATTTACTCTAAAAATTATGTTCTATACTTTTCATTATGGCTATATAAATAATGTGCTATCATCTAAGATGGTGGTTTTCAAAGCTTTTAGTCCGTGACCCACACGATGAAATACATTTTATGTCACCTAAGAGCACACACTGCATACACATACATGAAACTAGAAGTTTCACCAAACAATACTTTAGACATACAGTGCACTTGGCTATTCTTCTATTGTATTATATTGCTTTTCTCATCTATTTCATTTCATAATGCTGATTGCAGCCCACATTGATTTATAATTCACTAATGACTTAGTTTGAAAAACTTTGTTCTAAGCAGAAATATCTCCAATGTTACTGAATTTTTGATAATAAAAGCTGACCTCAGTATGACTGTTTGGTCTCTTAGAAGTTGAGAAAGCACTGATGGGAATTGTTACTCGTCTCAATACTGACTAAAATTTTTTTTTTAATCTGGTTGATTGGGTAGAAGAGAATCTTAGGGGAAAGGCAACTGTGACACCTAGGAGTTCTTGGATATTTTAGAGAATGAAAGTAACCTTGGGTATATTCAAACACCCACCTGGGGCTTTAAGGAAAGAGATCAGCCTTTTTAAAAAATTGACTATGATTGCACAGTCAGAGACTTTAAAATATGATTCAAAGGGGACAAATATAAGATTCTAATAAGTTAAATACTGGCAGTACAATTGAAGCTACATTGATATAAAAAGAAGGCATTTAAAGAAACCTATGTGGTTGCGTAGGGAGTTGGCTTTCAAATGAGCTTAGTTTAAAGAGACAAGTATGTATAAATGAGGTGCATAATTTAAAAAAAAATAATGGGAGTTAGCTTGTCATGAGATTGTCAAGAATCTTAGAAGAAATTCATGAAATACACCAACGGCAGCAAAAATAGAGTATTCTGGGGAAAAAAATTCTGTGGTAGCAAGAAATCAAAGAAAGGCTTAGAATTTGGAGAAGGGTACACTGTTTACAGCTGAAAGTCTGAGCTATTCAACTTTTGGTCCTTTGTTAAGGGAAATTATCTTCAAACTGAAAAAGATGAGAAGAACATGGGAAAAAGAAGGAACTAAGTCCTGAATAGTTGAAGACAGAGTCAGACCTCATTTTGCAACTTGAAATGAGAGCCACTTTTCTAGGCAAATGACAGCCTGGAACCAGGGGTAAAAATGAGTAAGTTTGCAGAGGTCAAAGAAATTTAGGAACTAGGGAATTTTGGAGAATAGGAGAGATGGACTAATGCCTCATTTTTCAGAATGGGCTAGAAGGTGAATTGCAAAAGTAAGACTCCTGGATGTAGATTCTAGGAATTCTAGAACAGATCACTAAACAGATGGTGTCTTCTCCCTCTGGCTCAGAATAGTCACGTCTTACTGTTTCAGAGTGCCTGCTTCTTGTAGCTCTTCTTGACTCCGGGTGACAAGCGCGCTTATGTGCCCCAAGGTCTAGGCCTTCTCTCTCATGTTCTCATCACAATTCTACGAGGTACACCCACTTTACAGATGAAAAAACTGCTGGGAGATTATGGTGCATCACCAGTGGGTAGCAGAGCTGCCACAATTCAGGCCCCCACCTCTCTGTGCACACCTCTAATGGCCTTGCTACATTGTTATATAGCAAATCTGCTGTGGAAGGCAAAGCCAGATAAGCACAAACTTATTTAAATAATTTCAAAAGTAAAAATAAAGAGGCTTGAAGTAAGTATCCTAACAAAGATGTTCTACAGTAAGGTTTTAAGGCGTACTCTTTACATTGTCTTCTTTTGTTGATCAGGACTTATTTTGCGTTTAACACCCAAGTTACTGCAGAAGTGACTCTGGAGTAAGTTAACCACTGTATCTGGCAGCCTCAATTTTTTTCTTAAACAGGAGCGTACTACCAAAAGCTACCCTTAAAACAGAGACAATAATTCACCTTTCAAGAAGACTTGAATTTAGAATGCTACCAAAGTGGTCTCTTTGGTTTCACATATATGTATAAAGGAAATAATGAACAGTTTATCCTGAAGTGGGATTAAAGACTTTAAGACCCTTATAGCTGGTGAGTGTTCTGATTGGTGTTGTAAATTGGATGAATCTTCACTTCAGTAGAATGAAATCCTACAGTTCCAAAAATGTTGTTTTTAACTTTTCTATTTCTGGATAGTCTGCCCTGCGTCTGAAAAGTCTGGTTCCTTCCTGGAAGAGTGAGAGTGCAGGCGAGCCCATGCACATGTGCGTGCCTTTCTGGTCCAAGCATTTGCTCAGAGAGACTATAAGACTAAAGATAAAGGTACAGGCTCGTTTTTTTTCTTTACCTCACACCGTCAGGAATACCAAGAATAAAAATTGACTGCTCTGTGTACTGTCACTTACATTGGATTGTGAGGGGTTGATGTGGAGTTACTTATGATGAAATAAACCAAACTGGGAAAAGTCCTCTATGAGATTGCTTTGTCCAGGCACTGGGGGTCAGACCACATCATGCAGATTGTGGAGGTGGTTTTGCCTAAAGAGAGAATTGTTCCCAGATCAAAACTTTGGACCCAGAGAAAGGACGACGTCCTCCCAGCCCAAGGCCTATCTCTTTTCCTGCCCTAGGATGACTGCCATTGGGGCTCCATGGTAGGGAGATGCCTGGAGATTCCTGATGACAAGTGTCCCTGTAACCCCTGGCTGCTGGAAGGCTTAAGAGCTATTGTATTGTGAGCCTCTTGGCCATGTTTGGAAACCACTGTGAGGCAGTCTCTATGTTATACTCTGTCATCCCTATGTCTTCAGAAATGCATCAGTAAACATTACTTATTTCCATTCTTTGGGAAGTTAAGAGAGAATATAGGCGGAACACAGTAAAAGCATCCTGGAGAAGCATTAAGAGAATGTACGTGGTAAGCCAGGCTCCACAGCAGTCTGGCCAAGATGGCTGCTGCTGCTGGTGGTGATCAGTGGAACACAAAATGATGCTTTAGGAATTTCTAAGGAAATATGGACTTTTGACAATACCTTACAAGTAGATAATCATATTAGTAGAGCACAGTGGCTTTAAAAAAATTTATAGTGTTATTGCAAACCCTAGAGTTACATTGTATCTCTGTCCATCTCCATTTTGTTGTGGTCACCAGAAGCAATGCTTAAAAATTGCTTTTTAAGCAATTTGTAATGTCCCCAGTTATAGTTATTCCTGAATTGTGTTCTCCGGGACACAGGTTCTGCAGCAAATTAAAAAGATGTTTTGCAAAAGAGGTTTCCATAGTTAAATACATTTGAGAAATATTGAGATAAGCAAGTTAAACCATTTTATCACAGGATTTCTCAGAACCTTTATATACTAACGTGATTGTGATACTCTGAGAAGGGGTATAAAAATACAGCTTTTCCAAAACATATTTGACTTTGGAACTTTATTTTATTGAGCACATAGGCAAGGGCTAGTGCTCCAAAAAATACACTCTGGAAAACACTAACCTAATATAATCTTTTTTGAAATATCAATTATTCACCAATGTTTAAAAATACAAGACAACCAAATTAGTTTTCATTGGAAATGACTGGGCAAAATCTTTTAACTTTTTCTAGCACCACCAATTTTATGTCCCTATGTAGAACTGTATAATTGATTATTTCATTAAAGAATCTTGCCAGTAGATAAAATCAACCAATCTGGTATTTTAAAGATGTTGTCTTAGCAACATATATAAGACAACAGATATATGTCAATTTAAATATTTAGGCAACTTTATTTTCTTTTCTCTTAAAGCCAGTATTACTATAAACCAGTTAATTGTTTTCAACCAAGCTAACCTTTAAAAAGAAAACTGTCATCTTAAATAAAAGAATGAAGGTTACAAATATGTGAAATGAGCATTCTTTATCACTCCTTGGGTACTTGGAAATGAATACATTTAGGGGTTTTTTGGTGGTGGTGGTGGCGGTGGTTTGTTGTTGTTTTTTAAATATGAACATTCCCTTTACTCCACACCCAAAGCAAACACTGAACTTTGTGCTGCATCTTTGGTCTTTGTCACTCCTCGTTCATATCCACTATCAACCTCACTCAGCTATCCTCTTTAAGGTCTCTGACTCACGTAGCTTTCAGCACTAATAAAGATTCTACTACCACTGTGACCTAGTCCGGCTGTTAGCAGCTCCTAACACTTTTGTTCATTTATTTTATTCAAGACACCTACAAACTAAGAGCAAGAGAAAATTAGATGGATTAATTCCTAAATTTGTTTATGTTTCGTATTTCTATTCTCAAACCAGCTTCTTTTCCTGGTTGTCTCCAAGGTAAGGAAGGGTTCAGTTAACAGTCTGGTTTAAATTCAGCCGTGAACTAGAGCTCAGGAGAGACATTCATGGACTCTTGTAAGAAATACCAGAACTTCACTAACCTGGATTACTGCATCAGATTTATTTCCCCAGAGGCCTGGTCTATCAATGTCTTTTAAGTCCCAAATAATTGTTTATAAAACAAAACAACCTTAAAACTGCCCTTGTAAGGGTTTACTACATGGTATTAAAACATATTTGACTATAGGAATTCCTGCCCTGCAAAGATCTCACATTCACACAGTGCCCTGGTGTGCCATCTCTTTTATGACGAGAACAGTCAACATTATCAGTGAAAGGAGAGCTCGCTAAAAGCAACTCCATTTAAATGTGAAGTTAAATCACAGCTACATCTAATCTTACATGGCAGAGGAACTCTGCAGCTGTGATTAAGTTAACACTCTTGTTAAGAGGAGGTTATCCTGGATTATTTGGGTGGGCCCAATGTCATCAGAAGGGTCCTCAGAAGGAGGAGGCAGGAAAGTCAGTCACAGATGTGAAGGTGCTATGTTGCTGGCTTTGAAGGCCATAGCAAGGAATGAAGGCAACTTAGAAGCTGGAAAAGACAAGGAAATGGATTCTTCCTTAGAGCCTCTTGAAGGAACCAGCTCTGGCAATAGCCAATGAGATTCACTTTGAACTTCTGAGCTTCAGAACTGTTGAGAATAAATTTGTGTTGCTTTAAACCAGTGTTTAAGTTTGTGGTAATTTGTAACAGCAGCAACAGGAAACTAATCGAATAGATTATACCCCAACAAACCTGGTTTAAAAAAAAGATAATGGAATATATTTAGTATGGTAGTGAATAAAAGTGTGATTTGGCTAAACTACAATGCCGGGTCAAAAACATGTCTGTGACACTTGCTTACTATGTGAATAATCTCAGGTATGTTAATGTACTACTTTGGAGCATGTTATCATCTGTAAAATATTTCCTAGAATAACTCCTAGAAATTGTTGTGCAGATTAAAGGGTGTAATTTATATAAAACACTTAGCTCATTTCTAACACTTCATATACTTTCAGTAAGTGGTAGTTATTATAGGAAGTACCTGAATTACTGAGTATCATGGGAAATTTTTATGTTAGAATGTGTCACAAATACAATATACAAGAGATTTCTTCAGTAACCCCCTCCCCAGCCCCCAAGCACTGCTGACTATAATCTGACCCAACCTAAAAAACCAACTATTTGAATTCCTTCCCTATATATATATTGTTTGTTTGCAAAAATTATCTGCGAGAATAGTTCCAGGTTACTGCTTTTAACTGCTGAATTATAAAAAGTATTAGTCTGAGATATGCCACATCCTTTAAGTAGTCTGTGACAAAATTAGACTGTGAAACAGCTTTTGAATCTAAATCTATATTTGTATTTAATGAACATCCATCCAACCTGATTTTCTGGCTCTTTTTTTGGATCTATGTAGGGAACCGGTTCATTGCATGTTCTTGCGTTTGTGTTAATGAACTTAGCATAATACACACGTCCTCTCCCGACACATGGTTTTGACTGTTGTACACTTTTTCCAGGTTTTTTTTCATGTTTGAGTTCTTCTTTTTCTTCAGTTACATGCACTATACCAGCATCTTCTATTTTATGCTGTCTGAAAAACAGAATTAAATAGCATATCATTTATCCCAATGAGCATTTCAGTGATGAGTCATAATTACATAAGATAAGATTTAAATATATTTCAAGTGTTGAGACAATGTAGGCTTTATTAATAACTACTACGGGCTTGTGCAGTTAAAATGTGGGAGGGTATCATTCAAAATCATATGAAAGATATAGAGATTTGTGTTAATAATGATTATTCATTACAGTATACCAATGCCGTGTACAGACTCATTTGCTTGGAGTCATGAGTCGTGCTTTGATCCTGCTCACAAATCCTGTTTACAGTATTTATTCATGTGCCTAAGATACATGCTAATCATAACTCATCTTCTTTGAAAGTTACTCAGTAAATTTAGCCATCTGGACCAAGAAAACTAATTTTAAAGCCTCACCTGGCAAACTTAAAAAAGCTACTAAGTGACCACTGTTATTTCTTTTCAGGAAAAGCGCACCATGCAGACATAGAACAACTAATTCAATCTCCACACTTTTTGCTTCTAATTACTACACTGGAACAAAAATGAAAATTATTGTATTTTTTAAATGTTAAAAATATTTTGAGAGAAACAATTTATAAAAATTTTCTCCTTTTAAATAAGGAGTAATAGACATTATAAAAGGCACTATTAGAAAATTTCACATACTTGAAAAATAAAGGTAAGAACAAAATACTTGAATTTGGATACTTTTCACATAGACATTTAAGAAAAATCAAAGCCCTAACCCATGGAAGGGGAGTAGCTAAGACTCCAAATTTATATAGAGTGAGTAGTTCTGTTAAGCCTTGTCCGTGGCCCTATCTTAGTTCAAACTAAAGCCAGGTCCGTCTCTTCTGCCATGTCATTTTTCAACTAAAACCCTCCAGTGACTTTCCATTGTATTCGCTATGAAACACTTCCTCCTCATCTAAGGGCCTGTGTGACCCCGCTCCAGCTAATCTCTTCAACCACACTCCAGCCTCTTCTCCAGCCAGCCTGCCTTCTTTCAGTTCCTGGAACACACAGCCTCCTCTCCCCTCAGGGCACCTGCGAGCTACGTTCCCTCTGCCCCCACTGCTTTTCCCCAGCTCCCTGCACAGCGGCCTCATTATCATCAAGGTCTCAGCTGAAAAGTCATCGCCTCAAAGCTTTTGCTAGATTTCCCCCTCCCCACCCATGTAGACTCTATTTTAGAACTCTGTTCATTTCTTTCCTAACACGAACCAGAATTTATAATTTATGAACCTAGTTTTTTGTTTACTTGTTCTAGTAAGCACCCTTTACTAGCCAGTAAGTTCCATGAAGGTGAAGATCAGGTTTCATTTATCCTTAAGTACCCAGCACCTGGACAAGCATCCCATGCATTGCAGGTAAATACAACTTAAATATTTCGGGTGAACCTCTTGGACTTGTTTTTCACTCTGGCTTTGTTTTAGCTGTACACCCCTAACCCTCACTCCAACTCACACACAACATTACACACCCTTGATTCTAGTTCCCTGCATCCCAACAAAAATTGCTCTCTTTGAAGAATTTGGAAAAAATGATTACTAGTAAGTTGTAAATTACTTTGAAGGCTTTTTCTATTACCTTTCCAGGGATGTATTTATTTAAAGGCCATAACTGATTCATCATTGTAAACTTCTGGCATCAGTTTTTTCCACCTGTTTCTCATAGTTGTAACCCAGCAACACACTTATACTGGAATCAGATCCTTAAGGAAAGGACTCGCTATTTGCTTGCATACTGGTGCATTCATTTGATTAAACATCTGTCGTGTGAGTGGCCACAGACTGACTCATAAATGTGAAATATATGTGTTCTGTAGTAATCTCTTAGTAGAAGGAAAGCACAGTTAAATATACTAGTTGGGCTATGAAGTAAGTTGGACCTGGGTTGGAATCCTAGCTCTGCCATTTACTATTTACAATCCTTTGCATGATATAGGCAATAATGCCTATTGTGAGACATGTGAGAATAACATTAAATAATTCGTTTTTAAATATTTATTGAGTTATGTACCCAGTGTTGTTTGAGGCACTGAAGATAATGGAGTAACAAAATAAACAAAAATTTCTGCCCTCACAGAGCTTACATTCTAGTGGGGGAAGGCAGATGAGAAATAAAAGAAAAAGTAAAATATACAGTCTGTTAGATGGTTTTAAGTGCTAAGGACAAAAATAAAGCAGGGAATGGGGGAAAAAAGTGCTCGTATATGGGAGGTAGATGGCATTTTTAGGTATGGTGGAGGCTGCGCTGTGAAGGTGGCAACTGAAAAAAGGAAAGAGGGGAGATTGCTAAGTGGTATTTGAGGAATAGCATTGGGGCGAGTGACCAGTAACTGCCAAAGCTTTGCAGCAGAAGCACCTGACCATACCGTGATTTAGGGTCCATCAGAATCACCTGGAGGCCTTTTAAACTCCAATTAGCGTGCCCTTCTCTTAGAGTTTCTCCTGTGGTATGTATATGGTGGGGCTAATTTACATTTCTAGTAAGTTCCCAGGTGATGCTGATGCTGCTCCGGAGACCGCACTTTGAAAATCACTGCGGAAGTAGCAAGGAGGCCTGCGTGCTCGCGTAGAGCCCGGGCAGACGGAGGCAAGGAGCAGACAAGGCCAAGTACAGCAAAGCGGCACGTTGTGTAGGCCCCATAGGCCATCCTAGGAGCCTTAGCTTTTCCTCGGCAATGGCTACGGGAGAACAGTGGTCCAACTTTATGCTGTAAAAAGACCACTCAGACGGCTGCGTTGAGGAGGCTGCAGAGGAGCAGAGGGGCCCAGACTATCGCAGTATCCAGGTAAGAGACGCTTGTTGTTGGGCTAGGGTGGGAATGATAGTGGAAGTGATGAATCATGGTGGATTCTGGATATATTTTAAAGGTAAAGCCTACAGAATTTGCTTCTAAATTCGATGTGGGGTGTGGGAAGGCATGGATGATTCAGAGTGACGTCAAGAATTTTAGGCCAAGCAATGCCTGTAAAGTGCCCAATACACAGTAGGTGGCCAGTAAACATTGCGTTTAAAAAAGTATTATAAGCGTTCAAGACTAGAAATGAGAGGTAGGACTAGGGGTTGGGGGAGAGGAAAAGGCCTGAAGACCCACCCCTCGGGTCTCGCTTAACCCTCACCGAAGGAGGAAAACATTCTTCGGAAGGGGAAATAGAGAACCAAACCCCAGCACTTACTGCTGCTTATCCTCCTTTCCCTCCATGGGCTCCTACGGCCTGACACGAGGCAATGAGGAGCCTCACGGAAAGACGAAGGACTAAGCCCTGCCAGGAAAGGGGTGCGCGGAGCGCCGCGACTGTGACTCGTGTGTTGCTAAGCGACAGCAGGCTCTGGGCACCAGGCCTCGGAAAGCGGCTTGGGGCGGGACCGCGAGCGCGCAGGCGCAGGAACCAGTAGCGGAGTCCGCTCCGCAGTTAGCGGGCGCGGCTGCGCGGCGGGGTGGGGCGGTTGGCGGGGTCTCCTGGCGTCCTTCCCGGACCAGCCACGGGCTGGACACCGTGCGCCTGAACTTGGCCTTCCCGTATCGGGCTGGGCGGGGTATTTATCAGGGCTCACACTGTCCTTGGGGATCAGCAAGAGCCGGTTCCGGAACCGCTCCCGCGGCCCTTGGCCCCGGTGCCGGGGTCTGCGCAGTTCGCATCCCTGCATCGCCCGCCTTCCAGGGCCCGGCAGGACGCCGCCCTGCGTTGCCTGCGTCTGCCGGGGCTGGCTCCAGAAGTGCGGGCAGGCAGGAGAGAAATTTGTTTTTCGGTGAACCATTAAACATTGTGCAAGTCATGATTTGCTGCTCCCGGACTGCATAGTCTTTTTGCATGAGAAGGCTTGGCTGTCGCTGTTCTCCATGATTTCTGACACATCCTCCTTCCCCAGCTTAGCAGCGAGCGTTAAAATAAAACGAGAACACTCATCTCCTGCAAATGAGGCTCCCTGCGGTGTGTGCATCTGCTCCAGCCTGAGCGGGGTTCAGAATCGGGTGGAGGGAACTTGGAGGCTCTAGCGGCAGGTTGGGGCTTGCACTTGTAGCGCTTATCCAAAAAGAGCAAGCTCCTGGGAAAAGCAGTTGATGACTTGTGTCCACCTTCTGGCCCTGGAATTTCTTACCTCATTTCACCATTGCTTCCCAATTTCCACTTCCAGAGCCAAATGTCTCTGGCATCTGTTACGGTAACTCATGAATTTCCCTGGATAATGGGGAGAGAAAATTCCTTATTGAGTCGAATTCTGCAATGTATCGGGCTATGCGTATGCTTATGTTTTGTAACCCAGAGTCAGTCTTTGTGTTTATGTTTACCTGGAGAATTGTGAGAGAGAAGAGGTTGGTCCTAGGATTCACTGAACATATTCGAGTTTAAGTCCTATGAGAGAGAGTATATGATTAGAAGTTTGATACCTAGTTACCCAGATATCTGAGTGTGGACCTTGCTGGTAAAAAGAATGCAATGTGTGTGAACGTGTTAAGTGTATGTGTGCTTGGGGAGTAAGGAGTGGATTGGTAAATAAATATGGAGTGAGTTGAAAACCCCCAAAGCGGGAGAATTAACATTAATTGAAGCTCCTGCTTGGGAGCCAGGCATTTGCCCTGCACTGTATTAAATGCCACATACTTACCTGATTTTATCCTAACAATCAAACTGTGATTAGGAGCATAGTCAGTGTTTAAATCCTGGTTCCACCACTGAGTAGCTGTTTCAGTAGGGCAAATGTTTTAACCTCTCTGAGCCTCAGTTTCTTCCTCCACAAAATGGAAAATAATATCTAAGGGTGTTGCGAAGTGTGGATGATTTAACACAGGCGGAGCACGGAGAGGAGTGCCAAACGCATAGTAAGTCCTTGGTTATTAGTTATTACTTTTATTGAGTAGTTTGATCTGCATATGCTATCAGACATCTTAAGGCTTTCGAATTTCTATTCAACCCTCACCAATCTCTTCAAGCTCTTAGAACCCCTCACCCTCGGGGACAATCTAGCTGGGGAAAGATGCGGAATTTTCTCAACTTCCTCCCTCTCAAAATAACATATTCATCTGCATCCATACAGGCTGACAGTTGTTTGATTTTGAGTTGTATAGTATTAGTCTAAAATGGAAATGTTTTTATGTCAATCTCTTTCCAACTGTTAAGCAGTTTGTGTATGTATAGATTTATTAAGGAATATAAGACACATTTTAAAAAATTGTGCCTACCATAAGGAAGTCACAATCTAGTTATGAATACAGGAAAAAATTGTGAACAGCAATAATATATGACAGCATTTTTAAAAATTGAAGTATAGTCGATTTACGATGTCATATTAATTTCTGATGTACAGCATAGTGATTCATTTAACATATATGTGTATTCCTTTTCATATTCTTTTTCATTATAGGCCATTATAAGGTACTGAATATAATTCCCTGTGCTATACAGTAGGACCTTGTTGTTTGTCTATTTTATATATAGTAGTTAATATCTACAAATCCTGAACTCCAAATTTATCCCTCCCCATCCCCTTTCCCCCTGATAACCATAAGTTTGTTTTCTGTGTCTCTGTTTTGTAAATAAGTTCATTTGTGTCCATTTAAATTTTTAAATTTATTTTTTAAAAAATAGCATTATATAATTGAT